TCATAGCTGTATCCATGTGGGACTGGCAAAAATATGCCTATGGACATCCATTCAAGGGCCAACAGGGCACCTGCATCCCCACTAGCAGTGTGTTCACTGGGCCAAGGTTCACTGGAGGCCTTCCTTATTTCTTCATGGAGCAGCAACATTTCTACAGCAGAGATCAGGTAAGACTTAAGGCTGTCTGTTTTAGACTGAGATAAGAGGTTCTGTCGCCAAAGCCATTTCAGTGGAGAGCTGCAAAACACGTGTTTTCTGTGACTGTCAACTACAATGCAGCCTGGGGACAGATGACAGTATCCATCTAAACTAAATATATGAGACATGGTACATGATTGTGATAGGAAGGCAAATCACATTCCTGCTTGCCAAGGATATGAAACTGGTACAACCCCCCTCCTCTGCAAAGACCTTGACACAACGCACACCAAGCTCTCATTGCCACCCCTACTAGGGCTGGTGCATGTGCTCATCATTGAGGTATCTGAGAGTGAGCTTGAGTTTCCAGTTCTACTCAATTTTGCCCCAGCTTCAGGGATGAAAATTAAACACAGATCATCACTGGACATACTACAGACCAGCCAATCACCTGAGACAATGTAACAACAGTCAAGCACATACTCATCTGCTTCTGCCTCAGCTAGCTCTTACCTATAAGTTTCACCTGCTGATGTGGAGGTTGAACTGCAAAACCTAATACAAAATATGCTGACAGAACTGCAGAGCACCCTCAAATGAGATGAGATTTCTGCGATCTCCACATCCCAGCCCTACAGAAGGAATAAGCCTCCTAATATGCCCAGTATATCACTACTACAAGCAGCATTTTAGAAAGACACTGAACAAAGGCTATCTAACACCAAGGAACTTATACAGAGCCTTAGGCCTCCTACAAACACCAAGAATTAAAATTACACAATGATTAAAAAAATGCATGACACTCACAGATTTAAAAAGGTAGAAAGAATTTCCATCTAAATGAAAGCAAATTCATGGGAAACAACTGGGCAGCCTAATAAAACAGTGTGTTTACAACACCTATAAAGTATCTTACTAGCCTCTAGCAATGGTGCCTTATCAAAATGAAAATTCTTAAATGCCAGATAAAGAATTCAAAATATGGATTGTAAGGAAGCTTATTGAGATTGAAGCAGAAGTTGAAAACTAACACAAAGAATTCAAAAAAACAAGTCAGGCTATAAAAAAAATTACTAAAGAGATATGTATTTTTAAAAAACAACTTCCAAAAATGAAAAATCATTGAAGAAATTACAAAATATAGCTGATAGCTCTAAAAATAGGCTTAACTTAGCAGAAGAAAAAGTTTCAGAGCTTGAAGATCAGACAATTGATTTAACCCAGTGACAAAAAAATAAAGAAAAAGACTTTTTAAAAGTGATCAAAGCCTTTGAGAAATATAGGGCTGCATAAAACATCAAAATTTGTAAGTAATGAGTATTTCTGAGGGAGAAGGGAAGAAAGTAGAAAGTCTGGAAAACCTATTTGAGGGAACAATGAGGAAAACTTCCCTGGTCTTCCCAGAGATTTAGGTACTCAGACAGAAAAAGCTCAGTTTCTAAGCTATAATTATAAAACATAAATTGGCAGAATGGATGAAAAAAATTCTAACGATATGCTGCTTACAAGCAATGCATCTAGCTAGTAATTATATACACAAAGTAAAGGGGTGAAAAAATATATTTCATGCAAACAGAAACTAAAAGTAAGCAGAAATATCTATGCTGATTTTTTTTTAAAAAAAGCAGACTTTAAATCAACAACAGTTTAAAAAAGACAAAGTATGTCATTATATAATGATAAAGAGGTCAATTCAATAAATATATATAAAAACTCTAACAAAAATATGCACCTAATATCAATTCATGAAAGAAATACTACTAGAAACAAATACTGCTAGACCTAAGAATGAAGATAGACATATTTTCATTGTGGGGAAATAGCAACACCCACTTTACAGCATGAGATAGATTACTGAAGCAGAAAATCAACAAAGAAACACTAGACTTTATTGGATTCTAGATCAAATAGAACTAACAGATGTTTACAAAACATTCTATCAAACAAGTGGAGAATATACATTGTCCTCATCAGTGTGCAGAACATTCTTCAAAGTAAACCACAGGTTAGGCCACAGAAAAGTCTTATTACATTTTAAAAAATTGAAGTCATGTCAAGTATGTTCTTGGACCACAGTAGAAAAATAAAACCTAGAAGTCAACATCAAGAAAAAAACTGAAAATTATACAAATACATAGAAATTAAACTACCTGTTTTAGAATGCTCTTTGGATCAATAACAAAATTAATATGAAAATAAAAAATGTTTCTGAAATGCATCAAAATAGAGATACAGCATACTAAATTCACTGGAGTACGGCAAAATCAGTGCTAAGAGAAAAGTTTAGAGTGATAAATGCCTAAATCAAAAAGAAGGAAATATCACAAATGAACAAGCACCACATCTCAAAGGACTAAAAAAAAGAACAAATTAAGCTTAAAGCTAGTAGAAAAAAAATAAGAAAGATCAGAGTAAAATTAAATGGAGACAAAAAAGGATCAATGAAACAAAAAGCTGATTTTTTTAAAGGATAAACAAAATTGAAGACCAGTACCTAGATTGACCAAGAAAAAAAGAGAGAGGATTTAAATAAGCCTGATCAGAAATGAAAAAGGAGACATTACAACTGATACCACATAAACGCAAAAGACCATCAGAGACTATTATAAGCATCTCTACACACAAACTAGAAAACTTAGAGGAATTTTTTTTTTTTTTTTTTTTTTTTTGTAGAAAGTGAATTATTTAGAGAGAGATAGAGAAACAGGAGAAGGAGAGAGAAAGAAACAGCTAACTCTCACACTGAATGAGAGAATCCAGAAAGATGGAATCCAGGAGAGGAAAGCAGCTTCCACACTGAGTGGAAGGGAATAGAGAGAGAGATGGAGTTTAGGAGGGGAAGACAGGCTTCCATGAAAGAGTATGGAAAGGGACTCCAGTGGGAAAATCCAGGATAGAGAAAGATGGTTTCCATGAAGAGAGTGTTTGTGGAAGGGGATCCAACCTGGATGGCATACAACCTCTCAAGATAGAACCAGAAAGAAATAGAAATTTTGAGCAGGCCCATAATGGGCAGTGAGTGAATTGGTAATATAAAAATTCCCGGTCAAAAAAAGCCCAGGACCAGACAGATTCATGGTGAAATCTATTGACACCAACATACAAAGAACAGGGACCAATTCTACTGAAACTGTTCCAAAGTATCAGGGAGAAAATAATACTCCTAAGTCATTATATAAAGCCTGTATTACCGTGATACTAAAGTCAGGCATGCGTGCGCACACACACATACACACACACACACACACACACACACACCCTACAGGCCAATATCCTGAACAAATTTAGATGCAAATACCCTCAACAAAATACTAGTGAACAAAAGCATGTTAAAAGGTTAATACACCATCACTGAGTTTTATTATCAAGCTCTTTTAATCAAGTTTTATTTCATGGATACAAGGATGGTCCAACATATGCAAATCAATGAATGTGATTCTCCATATAAACATAATTAAAAACAAAACTATGTAATGATCTCAATAGATGCAGAAAAAGCATCTGATAAAATTCAGCATCATTTCACAAAGGAAAAAATAACAAAATTCAAAAAGCCATGCATAGACAGAATATATCTCAAAATAATAAAAGCCATATATGACAAACCAATAGGCAATGTCATATTGAATGGGAAAAAGTTGAAAACATTTCCCTAAGAACTGGAACAAGACAAAGATGGCCACTTTCACCATTCCTATTCATCAAACTACTGGGAGTCTTTGTTACAATAACCAGGCAAGAAAAAGAAGAAGAAGAAAAAAGATATCCAAATTGGAAAAGAGGAAGTAAATTTTTCTCTGTTTGCTGATGATCAAACAGAGATTGCTGAACAATCTATAGATTCAGTGCAATTCCCAGTAAGACACCAATGCCATTGTACACAGAGTTTGAGAAAATATTCTAAAATTTATTTTGAACTAAAAAAAATGACCAAATGGCTTTGCAGTACCATGGAGTATTAATCAGCCATAAAAAAGAATACAATCATGTATTTTTCAACAACAAGGATGGAACTGGAGCCTATTATCCTAAGTGAAATAACTCAGAAACAGAAAGTTGAATACTGTGTGTATTCTAAGTAGGAGCCAAAGAATATGTACACATGGACAGAGAGAGTGGAATAATAGAAACTCTAAAATCTGGGAGGATGGGAGTGAGTTGAGGGAAGGAAAATTACCTATTGAGTACAATGTACACTATTCCTGTGATGAGTACTCGAAAAGCCAAGACTTCACCACTACAGAATAGATCTATAAGTAAACTGCACTTAAATTTTGTAAATCTATAAAAATAAAAAAATAGATATTATAAGATTAACATATGAATTAAATTATGATATATCAATGGTACTAAGGCAGAATATTGACAAATGAAATAAAACGACAATTCAAAAAATCTATGCCAATATTTAAGCTTTATATTTTTTAGGATGGTTGTAACATTATAAATATTTATACAAGAGGACTTCTTTACATATTTATTTTGTCCATTAAATACAAGAAGAAATTGAGAATCGAAGATATCTCACCAACGTAGGTATTGGGTAACATGGGACACAATTTTAGTTTTCTTTAGTATTTTTTAGTTGTTTCTTCCATTCAGCCTGAGAAAATTTTCAACTCAGCCAGAAAATTGAATTAAAATATTATTTTCCCTTAAACACTGCATCTATTTTAGCTGTTTGACCATAATTATACTTCTAGCATGTACTTCCCAATTTCTTAATCTTTTTTTTTATTTAGGACATTTTATTTTATTTATTTTTATTGCATTTTAGGTTTTGGGATACATGTGAAGAACATGCAAGATTGTTGCATAGGTACACACATGGCAGTGTGATTTGCAGCCTTCCTCCCCTTCACCTATATCTGGCATTTCTCCCCACGCTATCTCTCCCTACTAACTCAGACAGTTGTAAAGATTAAGAGAGTATACATAATACATGTATTGGAGACTTTGTCATGCAGTTAAAATTTATGAAAGGTAATAATAATAATAATAATGCTATTTTTATTTTAATTTTCATTCAATGACAACCTTGCTTGTACTTCTTGTGCTTAATGTTCGTGGTTTTAATTTATATATTAAAAAAGTCCTAGGCAACTATATTAATGGAATCAAAGATTGGCATAATTCTATACCATTGGAATATTTGGTTTGATATGATTCTAGTTTTTATTTTATTTTATTTGATTCTAGTTTTGCCTTTTTTGGTTTCCTGTTGTAGAGATATTTCATTAAATTTTAGACTTTGGGGAACTAGTCTAAAAACTTGGTTGTCAACAAAAAAAGAAAAAAAAGATCAGGTTTTTTTTTGAAAGAGCTGGGGAAAGAATATAAAAGATTGAAAAAATATAGGTTTATTGATAATGGGAAGAAGATTAAGATCAACATGAAGAATGCATGCTACAAATGAAGTTTTCTGACTTGAAACCAACTAAAATTTTTGTTCTGAAGCTCCGGGGTTTGGGACTTTGGCCACTCTGGGGTAATTGTCATGAGTGGTCTCAGGCTGGATGGTTTTCCATGGTGAACATCATATTTCCTAGACATAGATGGGTAGTTATGTTGAACGTGATTTTTCCAGCCTTGATGACCTTAAGTTACACAACATGCTGTCTCAGATGTAATCAGGCAAGGTGCCCAATTGCTGACTTGCATTTTCATCTGATACTTAATGTTTTTGACAACTTTGTGTTTTTCAGGAATTTGAAGATGACCTAATATTTCTCTTGCAATTTATGGCTGTAAGAAATATATAATTCATGTGCTAAAATTATGTGAAGTCTATTGAATTAGACTAAATTTCATGGGAGTGGGCAGTGTATTTTCTTCTGATAAATGTCTAAGTTAGGCCATTTTACAACATTATAAGGGAATACCTGAGGCTGGGTAATTTATAAAGAAAATAGGTTTATTTTGGTTCACAGTTGTGCAGGCTGCACAAGAAGCATGGTTCCAGCATCTGCTGCTGGTGAGGCCTCAGGACGCTTCCAATCATGGCAGAAGGCAAATGAGAAGTAGGCATGTTTCATGGCAAGAGAGGAAAGAAGAGAGAGAGTATGGGGAGGTGCCACACTCCCTTAAACAAATAAATGTTGTGTGAACTCCAGTGAGAAGTCACTCATTATTTCAAGGAGGGCACAAAGCCATTTATGAAAGACCCTCCCCCATGACCTAAACTCTTCTAGGCCCCACCTCCAGTATTGGGGATTACATTTCAAGATTTGGAGGAGACACAGATCCAAATCATATTGCTATTTTTAAACCTTTAACATTGCCCAATTATCTCTCTCTCTCTCTCTCACACACACACACACACACACACATACACACACACACACACGGAAGAGTTTATTTCGAACACCTTTTTTTCTCCCAGAGCATTATTTTTTCTAATTCATCACTGATCACATTCCATTGGTCAATACCATCTGGCCAAAGACCACTAAGGACACACTTGCAGTTGAACAAGTTGGGTTTCAAACCTGTAATACATACCCAGGTACACTCTGGGAAACTGTGGCGTATCTTAGTAAGATGGTGTTAGAAAGACTTAGCATAGAGTTTCAGCTTCTGTTAGGTGACTTTGGAAAGATTTAAAGAAAAGGGGCTTTGCTTTTGATTGAGCATTGTCAGAAAGTGGAGTACTTGTATGATTGGGTTAGGAAATAATATCGATAAATATAAATATCTAAATAATATCTATAAGGAGGGCTGACTAGCAACAAATTAGGTTGTAGGGGGTAAAATAAAGTTAGAGTCACTTATTTTAGTCAGAAAAGAAATATGCCTGGTATTTTATAACTTGGACAATGATCATGTTCAGACATAATTATAGAATAGTCTTTTTTAAAAATTTTATTTATTTATTTATTGAGATGAACTCTTGCTCTGTTGCCCAGGCTGGAGTGCAGTAGCATGATCTCGGCTCACTGCAACCTCTGCCTCACAAGTTCAAGTGATTCTCCTGCCTCAGCCTCCCAAGTAGCTGGGATTACAGGCGCCCACAACCACACGTGGCTAATTTTTGTATTTTTAGTAGAGACGGGGTTTTGCCATGTTGAACAGGCTGGTCTCGGACTGCTGACCTCATGATCCCTCTGCCTCAGCCCCTAAAAGTGCTGGGATTACAGGCATGAGCTACCACGCCTGGCCTGTTTTAGTCCTTCTTGAGAATGAGTTTGTCTGATATTGATGTTCACAGAAGAACACCAAGTCCTGGTTGTGAATATCGTTCTGGCTCACAGTAATGCCAAGGCCTGGGCGATAATGTCAGAGCAGGTTCTGAATGCCAGGTGCTACTTATCTTATATTATGCCTTTCACTGGTCTATGCATTTTTTCCACTAAGACAATATGCCTCTTAGATTAAAGGATTATTTATTATTATAACCCCAGGAACTCTCCGTAGCACCAGACATGTAATAGGGTCACAATGAATATCAGCGAAATTAATGCTTAATTAACAAAATGTGACTCTTTTTAAAATATGCATTTGAAAGGAATACTCTTTTTTTCATTTACTCTATGTTCACCTATTCCATCATCAACTGTTATACGGGTATTGATCGACTTACGACCTATGCAACTTACGACCATTTGACTTTACGACCACAATCGCTAGCCACGACTGCTCTGTGTCTGGCAGCGCAAACGTTGCCCAGTAAAGTCGAATGGTCATAAGTTGCATAGGTTATAAGTTACATAGGTCGTAAGTCGATCAATACCTGTACATATAGCCTACTCAACTTACGACCAAATCGTGTTACGACCTGTCTGTCGGAACCAATCGTGGTCATAAGTCGAGCACTAGCTGTATAGATATAACCAATAAACAGTGCATTGCTTATCAGAGTAAAATAAATACAGACTCTAAAATATATTTTTCTTAGAAGAAAAATCATGGTTTAAAATGAAATGAATCAAAAGAGATATAGAATTAGTTACAGCTTGCAATTAAAGCTTTTGGACAGCAATTTCGTAAATCAAATTTAAATTATTATCTCTATTTGGTCATTGACATCTTTGGCAATCCTTGATTTCACAGTGCAATTGTAACACTTTATCTTAGAAAAGTCTTGTAATGAGCCTAGGTTTATTCACCTTGGATTCAAGGATACTACTTATGAAAATAAGAGTATGGCATCTCATATGTGGGGTCATGTTCCTGAGCACAAACTGGTGACACTGTGATGATACATTGCAATAGTAAATAATTAAACTGACTTCTCTCCTCTCCCTAGTGCTTCACTGACAGATGAGACTGGGTAGTATATTATCTCAGCACCATTGTACTAGTGATGCATTGGAACAGAGTGCCACCAGAGAGTCTTCCCCCAAAGTGAAATATGGATCTGTCACAGGGCTTTAGAGATCTAAGGATGCATTTTCAAATACAGTCCATGGACTTATTTGAGAAATAAAATCAAAGTTTTTTTTTCACTTTTTTAATCATAATATATCAAATATTGCAATGCAAGTGTGTGATAGCTGGGAGCTCAATCAAAGCAAACTCATAAATAATGTATTTTCCTTGTATTCTATATATGTGAAAAGGTTAGCTTATCTACTAAGGAAAAAGCTTGAGGTATAAAGAGCAGACACACTAAACAACTGTCCACAAGAGTGAGTGTTATTATGGGCTTTAGGAGGTATAGAGGCTATTTATATGAGCTTTAGGGAAAATGTTCTCAGAGTTGCCTTGCAGGAAAAAAACTGATGCAGTGAAAATATATATATTTTTTACTTTTAAATAAGCTTTGAAACCTTTTCTCCCAAAGTGTAAAGGCTATAGTTTCAACCCCACATATTTAAGTGATTCTAACTGAACAGAATAAATGAGGGCATGAAGATTCACTCTGCAAGTTCAAAAGTAAAAGAGAAATGAAAAGGTTATGAAATTCATTCCAGCTACTTTATAGCAACTTAGGTGTATCTTTTTCAGAAAAGCTGGATTAGTCTGAACCAAAATAACCTTCCACTTTATCACCACAGCCAAAGAACCATCAAGGTATGTGAGCATATGTGGAGGTGTACTAGGGCTACCCTGCCCAGGATGCCTTAATAAAAGTTGTACGTGGCAAAAGAGATGCAAATGGCTTGAAATCCATTCCATACACTGCTCACTAAGCCAGTGGTTTAGTGTGGAGGGAACAACTCAGAGGATAGGAAATTTTTTACTTATTATTTCTGGAGAGGGTGACTTTTATGATTGGTCTGCCCATTGGAACAAATTTTTTATAACTAGTACAGAAGGGCCATATGTGCTACCAGAATACTTGAAAAAGACGAAAAATGGTCAGGCTTTTCTAAGAAGCTGCAATGTATCTAGTCTAGCCTTCATTTGGCTGGATGCTATAAGGAATAGTAATCCTACCAGGACTCAGATCCCTTCAGCAACTTTAAATGAATTGACTGGGTATAGGAAATGACACCTTTCAATACGGTTCATCCCTGGCTTTTTGCAAAACCTGGCTCATTTTCTTGACTTTCAACACTTGGCTTTTATTCTGTACATTCTCTGTTGAGCTGATTAAGGTTTCAGTATGCAGACCTGTATTTCTTCCTGAATTATTGCTTCCTGCATTGATGAAACCTTGGATAATATTCACAATCTATAAAAATTGTACAGCATTGTCCTGTCAGAATGATACAGACCTTATAGCTAAAACTGAGTCTTAAAGTCTCCTAGATTTGGCTAGAAATTAGTCTTTATTATCTGGTTGCTGGACATTTTGGGGTGCTTGGGGAAAATGGAGCACTTTGGGTAGCAATGAGGTAACTCAAGAATCATGAATTTCATCATTTACCAGCCAGTGTGGGTATATTTAATACTTTAGCAAATTGGTGCAGTTGTTTTAGATGTGTGGGATGAATGTAAGTCATGGGTGGAACTGAC